TGAATGATTCAGAAATATCTTGTAACTGTTCTTCACTGAATTCAAAATCTTCTTCAACTAAATTCTCTTCAATTATTCTACCTGTGAAATCTAAGATTGCATAAATTTTTTTATCTAAATGAGACATATGCTTCTTTTTATTTTTTTGTTCTTCTAAAGTTCGTAATTTTTCTCTTTGTTCAGCTGTGAACCATATATTATTTGATTGATAATAATCACATTCGTCATCAATTACTTTTGTGCCTTGTATTCTGTAAATTATTATAATTATAATTTGATCTTTATATAAAAAAATAATATAATGTATTATACCCATTACGATCATATTCCAAAAGTTTGTCTCTCTGTTTTATTGATTCTTCTAGATTTTTATTAGGTTTTTGATTCATCAATTTATTGTATAATTGATCACCTTGTTTAGTGTTACTAGATAAAATAGTTTGTTCTTTTTCAGAACATACAAGTTCTCCACAAAAAAAACAAGGGCCAGCTCCTTCTTGAGCACAAACTATTCTACCACAATTAAGACAATTATTAATTAATGTATGTCTCTTTGCTTCACAATCACATTTGTATCTACCTGTTAATAAAATAAAAATAAAATGTTTTTATATTATTTTTAATATTATATAATAATTTATCAATATTAATATTACATAATAATCTAGCATTTTAATATATGAAATACCTTTTAATAAAATTTCTCTATTTTTACCATCTTGGGAATATATACTTTCAAATTTAGGTTTTTTTTTTTCCAGCTTTTCTACTTTTACATTTTCTTGTATCTAAATAAATAATATTTAATCTTAATCTATGGTATAATAATCATAATAATCTAATATAAATAATCATAATAATCATCAGTTATAAATTTAAAATAAAATATTTAAATAACATGACAATATACCTGTTTATTTTCTTTATATTCTTTTGATTTTACTTTTCCTTTTTTTTTTTCATTTTGCTTTTTTTTTCCATTGTCCATATCATCTTCTTTTTTGCATTTAGCTTGATCTTTAATTAAAGCTGAAATAGCATTATAAAATAGTAAAAAATATTAAATGATTTAATTATAAATAATAAATATAAAAACCTTGTTGTTTCTTGAAATCTGTGATAAATTGTCTATGCTTTCCATTAGTATAATCTAAAAAAGATCGCATATAATCATCTAAATCTCTTTCATTTTGTATTTGCATCATATATCTGAAAGAAATGCATGATATATAAATTATTATAAAATATTATCATTTATACAAGTGAATATTATAGTTTCATTGTACTATAATCTACTTACTGTACTATTTCGTTTGTTACTGGAAAATCTAAAATTTGAGATAAATTTTCACAAATCCAATCTTCCATTTTTGCAAAATTATTAAAATAATAGCCTAAAAAAATTAAAGATATTATCTAGTTACTTGCAAGCGTAAAATTAATAATTGATTCGTGAGCAAAGTTGACGAGCATGCTATCCCTTCCACTAAAAGTATTTCAATTCTTCTGTGGCAAAATATGTCACGTGATTAGAATTTCTGCCAAAGCCAAGCGTTGTAAGCCATCATGTCACGTGATGTGAGGATAATGTGACGTCACATATTCTCTTGCAGAAATTCGCTACAGGGGAATTGAGCCACTTTTAGATAGAGGGCGTATCACTATATATGAAATTAACTTGATGTTTAAATATTTAAAGCATGCGCATTAAGCATATATTACATATTATAATATATAATATATATATTTCATATTATAAAGAATATTTTAATCTCTATTAAATTTGCAATTTAAATATAATTTTTCTTTTTTTTGAAAAATAGGAAGAATAGTTTTTCAGAATAGGAAGTGATTTTCCAGAATAGTTTTTGGAATCTTTTTATTTAAAATATAGTTTCTGTATTTGAATTTAATTTTATATCAAATTAAAATGTACCAATATATCTATAAATAAAATTTTTTAAAAAACTTATATATCTTAAGTTTAATTTAAATTTAATTTAAATAATTTTTGTTAAATTATGATGACGATATTACTTTTTCAATGTGAATGTAATCTTGATCATAAATATGATCATAAATGTAAATTTCATAATTTAATATGTTAAAATGGATTAAAAAATATATATAATAATAAATATAAAGTAATAATATAATATATTAATAAGAAATAAAAATAAAATTAATTTAAAGTAAAAATTCTCATTAAAATTTTATATTTTCTAGATGTTTGTGTTACGGAGTTTAAAAAATACGTAGATTAACGCAAGGCCTTCGAAACATTTAACAAACGGATCTTCCTGCAGTTAAATTTGCATAGCCAGTCGTTTATACGTCGACAATCATGTATTCGTGCACATATGAGCTGAGTTTCAATTTTTGCTGGTGTTACATAACAATTACTGATACTTACCACAATTGATATCATCGCGTTTCATATATCTATTTCCATTTAATCATATTGGTACTTTTATTAATCATATTAGTATTTTTATTAAAATTTATTATATGGTATTATAGATATTTAATCATTATGGATAAATTTTTTTTTAAAATTTTTTAGAAATGTAACTATTCTTATTCTATTCGTTGTTGAAAACAATCTAATACTTTTTTTTGAAGAATTATACATAAGTAGTGAACCAAATATTAAGTAAGATAAAGAAAAATATAATTAAAAAGGAATAAGAAAAAAGACATATATTTGCATTTGTTGTATAAAGCAAGTAATTTTTCATTCTTTAATTCCTTTCCTTTACTAAAGAAGAAACCCTTGAAATTCTTAAAAATATATTCTAAAATTTTTTTTACTCTTTAATCCGTAATATAATTCGAGATAGCAACAACAGAAATTACAATTTAAAATTGTTGTATGTACTTAGACAAGACAATATAAATAAGTCGTATCATGAATTATTCTATTAAAATGAATCACAATATATTGTAATTTCATTTCACTGAGAATATATCAAAATGTATGCATATATAATATAAGAAAATACATTAAAATATATTACATATATTAAAGAAAATATATTATTAAAATATATTAAATATTTTATAATATAATAATTATTAAATTTTTTATTATAATATAATAATTTTATTATAATAAATATTATAATATTTAAATTTTATTATAATATAATAATTATATAATTTTACAATATTTCTTTTCATGCAAAAACGATTGAAAAGGACTAAATAACATATATTATGATTATTAGTTGTTCGAGCCATGTTATTAACCTATTAAATGATAAAAGCTTCTTGTACAATGAACTTTCTATATCATTCTGCATCGGGATCATTTGATAATTACTTTCAATCAACGGTTTTATTTAGACGGATGCTGTTCAAAGGCATCTTCATTATTCGCACATATAATACACGAATTATACTATAATAAATCCGAATGATTTCAACAGATTCACAGTTCTATCTTGTTTCTTAGTTATCTATCTTATAATATTAAAACAATCATTTTCTAATTTATATTATTATTAATATATATTATTATTTAAAAATAAAATTATATTTGAGGAATAACAATTTGTTTTTCTAATTGATGATTTTATTATAACAAAAATTTAATATATTGAATTTTTTGCAATATTACTATTTATCTATCAATTGGGTCATCGTAAATATTGCATCAAAAGCAAACTGGTCTCGATAACGTGTATCTTATCAAGTTGATTCGATATGATCGGTGAAGAATTCAATCGAGATAGAATGGAAGATAAGAATAGTGTTTCTTCTATCCTTTAAATCGTGATAGAACAAAAAACATTATTTAAAATATATCTTTATTATTTCTTTGCTCATAGTCAGCCATTAAAAATAATATTGACAAAATATTGTTATTATTTTACAAGATTTTAATAATTATTTAAAAAATGTTGGTTTCATGTTATTATTCATGTTAATTATAATAGAATTTTCTTTCAAGATATTTTTTTTTATCTTTTTATAATTAATGATGCATATAAAAACAGTGATATCATATTATAATCATCGATGAAAATACATGGCAAATTGTTTGACGAAGCACATTTGTTTGTGTTACTATATTTTCTCTTTTTTTTCAGTCATCGATGTGATAACTTAATTAATTAAAAAAGATTAATTCATTTTTAGTCTTCAATGCTACCAATTGCAAAGAAAAACTTCCAATATAATAGATAATTTGAAATTTTTTCTGAAATTTAATCTTAAATTTTATTTAGAATTAATTTACATATAATAATGAATAATACATTTTTTTAAATAAAGAAATATATGTGAATTAAAAAATAATTCTTGTAGATATTATATTTACATATGTAATGTATTTTTATTAAAGTAATTTATTAAGTTGAAATTATTCAATGTTTTAAGGAAATTTGATTAATAGTTTCTTTAAAAAAAAAAAAAACTAGGAACTATGAAATAAATGAGATAACAGATGATTTTTGTTTTATTTAAAACAAGTTTTATCTACATATTGCATTTTTTCTTTTACAACTTTCTATTACACGTTCCACTAACGCCTACGTAAATAATGAACCTGTACTAGTAATATATGCATTCAATTAGTATTAGTCAACATATTTATTATTATATGACTTATAACACGAAATTACTTTTATATTTATTATCTTATAAACAGCAGCACAAAATATATGATAAGTTTCAGTTTTATATATAAAAATTTAAAAATTATAAAATTATATATTTAAGTTTTCATTCATTACTATAAAAAAATTATATTTACTATTTCATTACTATGAAAATTTATAAATTATATATTTTTATATATTTATAAATTATTTATTTTATTATATGTATAATATTATTAAAAAAAATTATATTTATAAAAATATAATATTTATATTTAAATTAGCCGCTATTTTTAATCAATTATATATATGACATATAATGCGAAGTTTGCCGCACCATTCGAAAGTGTACGAAGTTTGTCGAAATCTTACTGCGATATAGTTCGCCACAGTCGCTCGGCGAACTCCGGCGTGGAAGGACGGTTTTGTGTTTCTTGTGAACTATGTTCCACGCTGTATGTGGTGCTATTTGTGTACTTTTTTTTCAATTGTATAAATCGGTGTCAAAAATAGTAATTAAATAAATAATTAATGTGTATAATCTAAATTATTTTGATCAAAACTGAATACTGAATAAAATCGAGTTTTTTTGTTCTTCGATTACAGTAACAACTCGACATCTAAACTCACTTACGTAAGTCTTATGACTTTGATTTTAAATATCATAAAATATATTGTATAATATATTTTAAGTATAATTGTTATATATTTTGTAATACATTATTCGAAAAGATTTTGATATTTTATAAAAATTCGAATAACTGATATCGATGATCGAATTTTTTATACTAACTTGCGCACACTATTATAATCGATATTTCGATCGAATTTTTTAATCGAGAGAAAGCTTGTTAATAACATGGCATCTTATCACAATTCTTTTTATTTTTTTTCAACATTATTAAATGTAAGTAAAACAAAGTTGATAAAATGATAAATGATGTCACACATATATATTTATATGTGTGTGTTTGTATAGTATATGTGTAATATAGTATATGTATAAGAGTTGTAGTGTAAAGACAAGAACAAATTCAACAAATCAATAAAATTCTTATAAGAATTTGATTGTCGCTTGATGTATTACGACATATAATATTTTTTGAAATGAATACATTTCATGATAAAAACGCTTATCTTGGCATCGTTAATCTTGGTATGTAAATCTTCCCGCTTTAAATTTATATAACATCGATATTTATAAAGATAATAAGAAATATTTGGAAAGAAATCGAATGAAATTACAAATACAATACAAGAAAACAACAATAAAAAAAGAAATATTTGAATGCAGTTTTATTAACGAATTTATTAATAATAAAGATAAAATCATTTATTAGATTAGACAAAAATGAATGATATTTTATCTATTTTTATTTTTTTTACGGATGTATTATACATAGTTATTGTAGCATAACAACTATACCATAGCATAACTATAATTCATGCACAATTATTTAGAGCTACGATTCACTGACCTACATGACGCACATAATTTAGTTGGTCAGGTTTCGGGTTCCGTTGATCCTACGATCTTTTTTGTTCCTATTCGAGTAATCGATTTCTGTCATTATACTCGATATAATTCGCATGTAAAGAGTGTTCGGTAAGAATTATTTTTATCCTGATGATTATTATTCTTTATGTTTATTTTAACTTGTGAAATTACATATAACATAAGTAATAAGAATATTATATATTTACAATTATTGAATGTTTTCTTTTTTCTTTGTATAAAAAAAAATATAACGTTTTATAAAGTTAAAAACATAATTTTTTAAAAATATTTGAATGGTTAAATTGCAAATTAATCTTAAATAGTATTGTATGATAAAAAATTATTCTATGAATAAATAAAATATTATAAAGATTATATATAGAGTATGAAATAAGAAGTTTGTAACTATTATTTTCTTTATGATATAAAAACGATGAGTTTTAAACATTATTTCATATAATTTCAAATTTATTTTCTAAATTAAATTAAACACTATTTTTTCCTAAATATATTTCTATCAACAAAAAGTATTTGTAATTATATATATATATTTAATCTATTTAAATTTTTAAATATAATATTTCTAATGCTAAAAATAATAAAAATTCATCTTTTGCAGTCTTTTGCAAAAAAATCTATAGTAAGAATTGAAATATCTAACAGATTGACTATTTAAATAATTAAATTAATTAAATTAATTAAATATTAAACTGTTTATTATATAAAATTATAAAGTTATTCATTTTTTTTATATCTTACAAAAAAGTTATCTTTCTGGTCCTTCCTTTTAATTAAACATAAAATATATCATATATTATATTTTCATTTATTCAACAATAATTTATTCTTCGAAATACGATCCAACTATAGTTTCTTTTCTTTTTCTCTACTTTTAAGTAATCCTTTCGTGTTCACCGGTAATTATGGAAGAATCGATTGGCACTTTTATGCATTACTTGGAAAGTGAAATCGTAAAATCTGAGTATATTATCCTAAAATTTCTTATTATATTTCGTGATAACTGGTACCATGAGTTCAAGTCATGAATATTAGAGATTCTCAACTATTAAAAATTTTTTTTTTTATTGTTAAATTTTTCTTATTATAAAACTTTTTTTTTTATTTTATTTCAGATAAACGATTTAATTCCCGATATTATATTATTATTCTTTATCATATTCAGACAAGTAATTTTGTTTTTTTTTTTTTTCTAGGATAAAAAACAAAATACTTCTATTGAAGGAATTTAAATGTTTTTAAAGAAAAATAACATGGCCTTGAGAACTCAAAAACATTAGAAATTTTGATTCTTTAGAAAATAAAAAGTTTGCTCAAATGCTAAAAATAAAAATTTAATATTTCTCTTCGAAAAAGTAACATAAAATATCCAATTCCTTCAAAAATTTATTCCATCATATAAAGCAATTTACATTTGTATATGGAGCATGTGACTCGTTTCAAAATCGATAAAAATGCGAAAAGTATTCAAGGTTTCGAACAAGTTAGAAGTTTAAATTTTTCGTAAAGCAGCGAAATAAGGTTTTTTTTTTAAAGTTATTCTTCTTTTAATAATCATTTTGTTTGTATGTATCTTTATTCGTATTGAATTAGATATTTTATTGAAAGATATACAAATTTTTTATACTTTCTCAACTTAAAGTTTTTCAACTCTCATATCAGATTTTGTATACTGTTTTCACAATATTGATATTGCAATATTGATATTGCAAGTACATTGATATATTTTTAAATAATAAAACATTTGATTTCTGTGAGCATTAAATGAATATAGAAGTTTTAATAGAGATAAATTTAATATTAATTTCAAAAATTAATTTTATTCAAAGCATATTATTGGATATTATTTCTTAATTATATTTTTTACATTCTAAAATATCATAATTCCTTGTAAATAAAAATAACAATTTAATAATTTTATTATTAAATTAAATAAATAATGTTTCAAAATTCTTTTAAATCTAGCAAAAATAATATTGAATATTAAAATTTAATAATTATGAGTTATAATTCATGAATAAGTTATAATATTTATAGAAAATAGTGTTGATTGTTTAAAAAAATAGAGGAAGTATCAAGCCATTTTTCTTTTGAGAATTTCTAAGATGATAGCGTACTGTGTAAATTGATCACGCTAGATTTTATTTCACAATCTGCTTGTGAAGATTTGAAATGGAGATCCTTTTTCTAGCTCTATTAATGGCCGTATCTGACAGGTTAATTCACAATCATTTCGAGAGTTCCCTCGTTTTAAACGGAAGGGCAACTTGGACAAAGTCAAGTTAATTTGCGACTAATTTGCATCGAATCTTAACACGATCATCTTACACTGCTCTATTCTCAACATTTTGTTATATAAATCTCATTTTTAAGAGGATAAGCCTACAAATAAAACTTTTTTTATGAAATTCATTTTATTGAATTTTTATTCTCATATTAAATATTTAGTTTCCAATTCTTTTGAAATAAAATAAATTCATTATTCAGCAAATATTTGTTCAAAATTTCTTCTGTATATCTCAAAACTATGAAATCCTTGCAATCATTATACGATCAGGCATTGACAAAAGGCTGTTCCAGTTTCGTGACACGCAAAACTGAAATTCTGATCAATAAATCTCGATTGCGGTTAGCCCACTATATTTATATTGATCATTAAATTTCACGAGAATAGTGTAGCATTTTTTATAACGACATTTTAATCCTCATTACAATTCAATTTCTAAAAAAATTCTCTGTTTCTTCTTATATTTTAATAAAATTAATTTGCTTAGTTACTTGATATGAAAAAAAAAAAAAATATATATTCAAAAAAACAAAGATTTATGAAATGATATTTCACAATCATTTGAGATTCTAAAAATATTTACTTAAATTTTATAGGATTTATGCTGTTGGAACAAAATTAGATTTTTGTTGACATCACGAATTCCATTGAAATCAATTTTTCTTTCTTTTTCTTTTTTTTTAAATTTTATTTTTAAAAAAAAAAACACAATCGTGAATTTATATTGATATTATATTATAGTTTCATTTGATCTTCATAGTTTAAATTCAAACAAATATTTCTATTTGTTTTTTAGTTTTCCGATCTAGATTATCTATATTTTGTATTATGTAATGAAGATTGTTTGAATTAATAATTTGTATATAAAATGTCCTATAAATTTTTTTTTAGAAAATGCATTTGTAGATATTTTTACACTGATAATATTTATCATATAATATTAATCTTAGGTGATGAAGATATAAATGTTAGTAAAGATATATAAATAAACTAACTTCGTAAATCACTGATTTCTTTGTGTATTATATAAATTTCATGAATTTAAGATTATAAATTTAAGATTTAAAATTTCTGGATTTAGAATTAATTATTTAGAATAATCAAAATGGATTAAAAAATTAAGAATACATTTTGAAGAATATATTCAAATATTTTAATAGTTCATTTTTATTATTTATCAATTTTTTACTTGTCGTAATGTGTATACCACATGTAGACACTGGCGACAGAATTATTACACATCGAATATCGCACAGTCATTTTTAAACGTTGTATGTACATAGTTAATTACTTCGTTTTATTATCAGTTCAAATGGCATCGTCAATATTATCGATAACGATAAATCATTAATTTATTTTTAACTTTAAAAATTTTGTTTGTTTCACTGTAAATGTTTTTGAAATATAATACAAAAAAAATAAAAAGATTTCAGAATATTTGAATATATAATGAATAATAACTATATAATAAATAAAGTTTAACAAATAATGAAATAATAATAATTATTATATATATATATATATATATATATATATATATATTATTATACAAAGAAATCATTCATGTTGGTGTATCATTTATCAAGATCATTTAAAAAAAGAAAACGGTTTCTATGTTTCACAATAGCATCGTGTGAAACAGTTTCTTCAATTAGCAAAATATGTTGGCCTTCTGTGCAATTAGTATTGCATGTACAAAAAAAATTTTTTTGTGAAAACACATGAACTATTGTGTCACGTGTATTTAAAGGTACTTGAATATTCAATTTATATTAATCTTATATTTCCATTATTAATTTACATTCAATTCGATTCATATCCATAAATTCAAATTAATTGTTTGACCAAGCTTATGACGCAAATTCATCAGTAAGTTCCAGATTAGAAATGAACTGCGACTGCAATGAGCTAATTGAACTAATTAAGTTCGTTAGTTGTTACTCGTGAGCATCAATACACGTGATACCTCTGTATCTTCTTCTGGAATCGTTTCTTAGTTCTTCTGGAATCGATGTTAATCGACGACAATACACAATTCGTGACATAAGTTTGTTTTTCATTAGAAAATATATGGCGTAAATAAAATTATCATTGACGATGAAATTTTTATTTCATAGAAAATTTATTTAGGAATCAATTCGTAAATGAAACGAATACTTAGGAATTTTTTTTCGTAATTTCTATTCTTAAAATTTCCTAATCACTTCAATATCGTTCCTATTTCTTTATAAAATTTTCTAATTTTGTAAATCATCATTCTTTGATTATAAGAAATGTTTTTCAATTTTGTTTCGACATTTGTCTCGTACTTTCCTTTCCGAAAATTTCTTTCTAATTTTTCATACCATTACGTGCATGGATAATTAAAACTGGGAACATTATTTCTTCAATGTGAGCAGAAAATAAATGGTCTCAAGATAATAAATCGCATAACGTAACATAAAGAAAGAATAATAAAATTACGCGTGTCTCTAGTAATTAAGATGCATCATCGAGCAGTATGTTATGTAAACCTTGAGACATTCTCTATTTTTGTAATTTAGGATTAGAGAATTGGTTAACTAGGTTAATGTAACGTCGTATAATATTAATAAACATAGATATTAAGAGAAAGATATTAATATAATAGATATTAATAATAAAGATAAATTTAATTTGTCAAAAAATTCCTATTTTTGAAAATCTTTAAATTTTTATTTTTTCATAATAGAAATGTATATAAAAAAAAAATTGATAAAAAAAAAAAAAGAAAATTACATGCTTCGTTTATAATTTAATAAACAAAAAACAATAGATGCTTGAGTTTTCGAGTTTAATAGTGATTAATCCAGCACTTTATTCAGTAACTATACAACAATATTAAATTGGATATCGTAGGTCTTTCGATTTGAACCGACAATTGATATAACATCGAGCAATTGCATCGCAGCTTGGTCTCTGAATCATTCTCTTCGTATTCATCTTGGTTGGCTAATATTTTAATCCCTTGAAGATGTCGGTTTTTTTAGTTCAAGGTCAAAATTTACGAAATCGAGGTTTGTCATAATGTCTGATTGAAATTTGTTTATTGTTCGAATAGATAATTGAAAGATAACAGAGTAATGGTATCGAATGGTATGGATGATGTATAATAATATTGATAAAAATACAAATTTTGTAAAAAGGAAGTTGATGTTGACTATTTAAAGATCTTTTCAAATTAATTTTTATTTTATATTATTTATATATTTTATTACATTTTATTATTTTATTACATATAATATCAAAACTGAGAACTTTTATATAATAATTTTTAAAATCAAGAACAGGAATTATTTTTGTATTAAAAATAAAAAATAAAAAAAAGAGATTTAAAAGTATTTAAAATATCACAAATAAATATAAAGTATGCAGAAAAATATGAATAAAAATAAAAAAAAGTTTTTTTGCAAAACAAAAAATTTAATTTTTAACAAATTGTTTATAATGCAACTTTATATTAAGTTCAACTTCCTATAACTGTTTATATTCCCGGAATTTGGTCTACGTAATATGTTAAAAATAAATCTGGACTTTATTCTTGCTTGATGTTTTCGGCATGGTTACTAGACTAAATTACTCCCGTTCTTTGATAATTATACTGTATGTAATTATAAACACCTCATTTAATATAACAATGCGATTAAAAGTTATTATGGCAAAAATCTCGATAAGATCATTGGCTTTCTAAGAAAAATTTTGATTAACTCTTGTAATTATTCAGTCTTTTTATACTTTGAATTTTTTAATTTCAAAATTAAAAATATTTTCTCTAAATACAGAAATATAATTCTAGTAAGTAAAAATCTTTTTCAAAAATTTTTTATTTATTTTTTATTATTTTAATTTTCTTCAACTTTTCTTAACAACTTATGAAAAATTTTAGTAATTAAAAATATTCATTTATTATTTTTTTTATTATCGAAAATTTCTATTAATTTTATGTGCAAGAAATTAAAAATTGTTACAAAATTATTGCTATATTTTCTCTAATATTACTAAACATTTAAATATAGAATGATACTTTTTTTTTTTTCACAGATTTTATTTTCGTGAACGAATAAGAATATGCCTGCATGGTTTGCAATGAAAATGATCAGATTCTTTTTTTCATATATTTTCAGATGAGATCATGAAAAAGGGATGACGAAAGATCGATGAACCTCGTGGTGTCGCGACGCTGTCAATCGAGACAAAATCCAAAAGTTTGCAGATCGAATGCAGTGAATCATGTCGCAATCAAGACGTTCCAGTATTTCCATCCACGATTATCCGGAACATTTAAATCCATTCAACGATGACATCACCAGTACACAATCTTACTTTTACCGTGATGGAAAGGCAAAAGATTCGAAACATAAATTCTGGACATTTGGCAGAAGTAGAAAGAAGAGATCAAATAGTTTTTCTATTAAGTCCACATGGTGAATATTATTTTAATTTAATAATTAATTAATACATAATATATATAATATTATTATTTAATTTAATAACTAATTTAATATAATTAAATAATTCTTTACTTAAAATTTATATAGAAAAGACTATATATAAATTATATATCTATATATATATATATATATAATAAAAATATTAATAAGATATAAATTTGAATTTAGACAAAAAAGAAACGTAGAGCTTGACAAATTTTTAGAAGAGAAATATGTCATAAAGATAAGTTTAGATTTGATGAAGGATGACTAAAAGAATATAATTATATTATTAGTATGATGATATTTTTATTTAACTTCAAAATTATATTATATATTATAAATTTTTAATTATTGAATAATTTATTAAAAAGGATTGTTATATTTGATTATTTTGACAGAATTTTACTATCACAATTTTACTATCAGTATGTTGAATTCAAATATAAATTGAGAAAGATTCGGCCAAAAGTTTCTTGAACTTGAACCCACGAAATGTACACGTGTATCGTATAGATATTTGTATTTGGCTGTCATCCAAAGAACATAAATAAAAGGAATTTAGCAGACGATCGACGTCAGGTTGTCTTCCGTCCAAAAGGTCTTTGCAATTTCTATTTAAGGCAACGTTCGATGCGCCTTTCCTGCGCAATTATACGTTCTTAAACTTCTGTACAGTTATCTTAATTTGTGATCATTTTTTTCCATTTTAAAAATATTTTTTAATCCTTATAATCAATTATAATCAAGAAAATTGAAATGATTATGTTTAATTAGAAAAATAACTTTATAAGTTTTATTAACTTTATTATTTATTATCATAAAAATAACATGTGATTAATTATTATATAAGAAAGTTTTAAAAATTTACAAATTTTATACGTTTTTATTTTTGTGATGAAATTATTTTTCCAAAAAAAAAAATTTTTAATAGTTGATATTTTATTACTGATATAAATAGATATTATCAATGATTGTTATTTTTATTATATAGATTATCTATTATTTGATTAAAATTTAAAATAATAATACATTAAACTTTAATGTAAAATTTGTTTCAAAGTATTCATTATTTCAAATCACTATTGAATTCTTTTTAAATTTCAAGTATCGAAAAGTTTATATAATGTGGAAATTTTCGATATGTATTATGTATATTGGTTTTCTACAATTTTTCTTGAATTAAATCAATCTTATTTTTATCTTAATTTTACTTTTGTAAAATCTAAAATAGCATTAGATATCGATATAGTGCAGTTTCAAATATTTCATCTCTAATCCATTTAATCTATAATCTAATTTAATTTTAATCTGATTTAATTTTAAAATCAAATTTTTTACTGATTCTAAAAACTATTTATATTTATTGTTACAAATTGATTGTAAAATTTATTTAGATTTTTTAAATATAAATCAATTAGTGATGTTTTTTTAATATACGTTTTATTTTTTCTATTATTTCATATTATCAAAAGATAAAAATTTTCATTGATAATTTGAATCAAAATTTGTTATCATCGAAAAATCAAATTTAGTCTTAATTTTTACTAAAATTTTCTATTAGTAAAGGAACAGAATTAACATTCCTCATTTATGATCATAATTTCTGTGTTATTAAAAATCTTAAATCAGCGTAACGTTCTATATAGTTAAGTTAAATTAATAATAGTTGCGTGTCGATATTTGCATGTCAATTTATCTACATAAAAAAATCAAGAAGTATATATTAGATAAGATCTATAAATTTAGGAATAAGCTGCTGATTCATAAAAACTTAGATATTGTTATTTTTATAATCTATTAATCATTTAACGAATAGGATACGTTAATTGTACAATTGTACAAAAATTAAAAATTAATATAATTAAAAAGCTAAGCATGAAATCATAAGATATTGCTATTTATATTTTTTTTTATTTTCTTCAAACAGCATTTTTTCTTTAATGTTTTTAATCTTTTTTTTTTCAGTTTTTTCGTGGATATTTACTTTACAATTGAATATTCTTGGTGAAATTCTGATTTTAATTTGGAAAACGATGCCTTCTGCATATTCTCTTCAGAAAAACAGAGTTTCGGTCTAATTGTCGGTTAAAATTAACTTCAGCATGGTTGATAATTAATACTGGAATCTTAACATATATTTAATGATACATTTTGCTTATAGAAGATGATATAGAAAAATCATACATTTAAAAAGTTTTTATTCTTTAAAAAATATTAAAAATATTAATTTTAATATTTAATATATATATATATATATTATATTATATTATAAGGATATATATATATAAGCATATCTTATTGTGATGAAAGTATTATTTCATTTTTTTTTTTTGTTTAAGAATGAAAAATATTGTTGATTCACTTCATAAATGATTACATCATTTTGTAAATGATGCAATAAATATCTTTATAAGTGATGTAGATATCTTTTATAAAAATATGTAATTTTTTTTATAAAAATGTAACTGTATTAGAATAAACAAGACTTCCTTGTACACATATATGAGATAGCAGAAGTGAAAAGAAATCTTATCCGTTGTTTGTAATCCATCATACCGAAGTTACTGAAGCATTTCCTTGACCATGAATCAATCTTGGAATTTATCTTCGTAAGACACAATATATAAATAAAATAATGAATATCTTATATGTTCATATGCAATTTCTATATTTTCTTTGAATAACATAAAAAAATTTTTAATTCACTAATATAATATTTATATTTAATAATATTTATTTAAGATAAAATATTTGGCTTTTATTTTAAATTTTATTATTATTAAATTTTATTAATAAATAAAAATTCAAATTGCGTTAATTATATGTAATATATGTATTGAAACATCTGCGTGATGAAATTGTCGATGTGATGGCTTTTGTTATAGGTGCTTATGTGAGAAGAAAAGATCAAGAAACGGCACTTAAGTCATCATTGAATATACATACCATCTTGCAACACTGATATTTGCATTCGTTAGATAAAATAAGAAAATAATATTCTCAGTGTCATTCAATGCTCATTATATGTATAACGCTTTAACTCACAAATAATTTACTATTCGTTCTGTTTATAAATTTAAAGTGTTGATGGATAAGTTGCTGATATTGATCTATTTTATATTTTATTCCATAGCTGCTTTCTTGTTTAATTGAATAATTGATATCAATTCATAAATATAGGAAAGAAAGTAAATTTTAATCATTTTAAATTATTAAATGCAGAAAAATAAACAAAATATAATCAAAATATTAAAAATTTAATATAATCGTTATTTTTCTAATAAAAATTTTCAAATAAATATACATATATTAATATAATTTTAAAAGTTAGATAGGTTATGAATTTTTCATAACTGAAATCTTTGTTAAATTCAGTTCATCTTCATTAATTTCAAGATTAAATATAGATTAAATATATAAGTTAAGTTATATTTCCATAGAATTGAAATATGACATAAATAATTAACACATTTAAATATAAAGCAAAATACGCGTCGCAAGTATCAATGGCTGTTAATTTACTTATTTTATTACATCATCTGACAATGAATTGTTTGTTTTCAGGAACGGATTGTTCGGCAAACGGAAAGATGACAAGTTAGAAATTCAAGAAAAGAAGTCCACAATCACCACAGGTTGTTATCAAAAATATTATTAAATAACAATAAGTTCTTGAAACAATATCCTTTTCGTAATGAAAATTGATTATGTTATATTATTTATTTCTTATTATATTCATAATTTTTCATAATATGCATATTAAATTTTAAATAGTTTCGTCAACTTACAAAAGAGAACCTTACGTTAAACCAATACCATCGTCACGTATAACGAAGGATCAACAAGAATTTGATGAAGCTCTTGGAACTTTAGCAAGAAGAAGAAAATATACATTAGATAATTCCGCATCAAGATACAGTTCGTCTTTGACTGTTAATGGTGATCCTGCAAGACTCTATGATGGTAGTCCGCAGGATACTACTACATCTATTATGGGTGATCTTACACCGAAACCACCAGCACGAAGGTGAATATATTATTATATATTATTAAATTATAATTAAATTTTGACTTCTGTGATTTTGTAAAAATTTCTTTTTTAAAATAAATTTTATCTCAATATAATCACTTGAACATACATAAATCATCCATTGATTAAATTTTAATGTTCGTATTAATTCAATTTTTATATTCAGATTTGGCCAAATGAGTCCAAAACCAACAAGTAAAATACCACCGTTGGATTTCGAAAATGAAAGTCCGAAGGAAAACGGAAATGTAACTCTTCGTGAAAAAACTCAAGAAAGAACGCCAATTCCCCCTTTGTAAGTATTATTTAGATTCCATAATATATTATAGTATTATATTTATTAAATAGATGAAATTATATTAAAAATATCGAATATATGTAATATCAAATATATCAAATATATTTCATAGGCGAAGATTCGGTAACAGATCATCACAAAGGACAAACGCAACTCTGGATTCAGAGGAAGAAGTGAATCGTTCAGGTGATATGGCATTGTGTGATGAAAACGAAAACGTATCCGGGGATTACATGTTTAAAAGATACTCTCAGGATGCAATTAGAAAATCAAATCTTTCAATAAATAGTTGTGTTTCAATCGGAAGTACGATGAGTTCATATGGTCGTAAAAAACGAAGAGCACCACAACCACCACGACGTTCAGAAAATATAGAAACAAATGAAGTAAGTCAAATTTTCTACTTAAATATTTTTAAATTTATCAATTTTCATTATTTAATTATTTCAGACGGTTCATGAAGCATCTAACATAAAACTTCAAATAGTGGAACCAATTGATATAACGAGAGTTACTGAGAATATAGACGATTTGACGAAAAAGAGTAAAAATTTAGACCAAGAAGTTAATGAAGAAAAAGAAAATTCAATTTTGAGTTCCAACGACGTATCATCTAAAAAAACAGAAGACAGTTTAACAAAAATTATAGAAACTAATGCAAATATGCAAAATAAAGAGAAAACTTGCATTGAGGAAAAATCTATAGATATGGAACAATTAGAATCAAAAATTTCGCTTATAGAAGACTATAAAGAATCGGAAAAAGATTTTGAGCAATCTAAGAAAGAGGAAGAAGATATTCAAGTCGAATATTGCAGAACTTCTCAGAAAAATATAGAAATAATTAAAGATATAGATCAAACGAATTCATTAGAATTAGATGATATCTCTCTTCGAAGGAAAAGTTCTTCAAGCACATTATCCAGAAATGACAGTTTTTCTGTGAAAGATGAGATTGAAAAGATAGAGAGACAAATAAAAGCTCTGGAAACAAAGAATGCTTCTAAAAACTGTTCGGAAGAAAAGAATATAAGGAATTCGATTCAAGAGAATCGTAGGCATTTTTTTCAAAATATGGTCGAGACCGATAATGATAAAGATCCGATTAAAATAGAATTTAAAGAATTTCCGAAAGAACAAAAGGACATTCATGTGGTAAGACTAAATGATTCACCTATTTCCGTAGTAGCTTCTCGAGAGCCGGTGAAAGTTATTGAGCTTCATATTTCTGAACCTATAAGACAAAAGCCAGAAATACTCGAAGATGTGAATCCAATTCCAAAACCCAGGAGGCATAGTGCTTTAAATCTAAATGATTCTCAATCAAACATAACTCTAAATAATACTAAAAACTTTGAACCAATAAGAGGGAAATCTTTGTGAATATTATTTTTAATGATAAATTCTTGTAAGAAATTGTACAATCTTTTTGATCTTTAAATTAAATAGAAGAATATCCCTGTTAATTTTAGTTGAGATATCTTTAAAGACTGTATAAATATTGTGTACATGTATATTTATTTTGTGCTTAAATTTTTTCTTGATCACTTTAAATATCATTAAATACATAATTATCAATTTAAATTTGAATTCTGAGGCAATTATGAATAAAATTATTTTTACAATATTTCTTAAATAGATTATTGCAAGATACTATTTTTTTCAAAAATCGATGTATTACAAATATGCATATTATTATCATCTGAATCATTATCAAATGGAAATGAATTTTTATACTAGTTCAAATGTAAATTTTGTGATCATGAATGCTATTAATACAAAAATTATAAAATATTAAATTATATTAAGTTGTTTCTTTTTTATATATAAATCATGTATTATTTTGTAAATTTAAAAAATTTTCAATTTTATAAAATTATAAACATTCATAATTGATTTTTTCGAGAATTTTAATTTAATTTAAAATTTAATATGATTGCTTTAATACACAAAGCTTTTATTATTACAATTTAAGAATTAGATAATAATATTTTATATTATAAATATATATTTACATTGTAAATATTAAATTTTAGTACATTAATGTACTAACACATAATTGATAAAAATTGTTAATGTATAAAAAAACAGAATCTTTTAAAGATTTCTTATCCTTTTTTCTTTATACCTTATAAATTTCATAATATTCATATTCACTGTGGACACTATTGCAACATTGTCTCCTAAAGTTTTTTTTTGTTGTCTCATCTATAAATAAAAAATAATTTTAATAATAAATTTAAAATATGAATTCTATAATTTGATATGATATTCAAATTGAAATAAGATCTTACTTTATTTCTAAAACAAGGTATCAAGGTTTGTAATTTTTCTAGCAATTTAATTTCATTTGCTAATTGGTCGCTATTATCTTCTGCATATATATCTATTATTGTGTCCAAAAATTCTGCCATTACCCAAACTTTTGATTCTAATATACAAGCATCCAACAAAAATATAGATATATGCTAAAAAAAAATATTACTATACAAAAATATTCAACATTAAGGTTTAATCAAAATTTATAAATCTTACTTTAATTATTTCACGAGCTTCAGATGTATCATTGTTTCTTAAAATCAAAGCCAAATTTCCTAATATTCGTATCAAATTTACTTGAATATTAGCATTTAAACATTGTCGTTCTCTGTTTAACATTGGTTGAACATCAGCTAATGTTAAACAGTTAAAAATATTTACTTTCTCCTCAGATAATTTTTGAATAGCAGCTCTCATAGCTGCTGTAGCAGATTCTAATAATTCTATATCATTTGCACTTGTATCCTTGAAAACAATTGTTCCAATTTCTGTCCACATCCTAAAATATCATAAATTGAATAATTTTATATAAATTTTAATTTAATAGAAATTGTACATTATACATACCTATATACATTTTCTATACCACCAAGTGCATCAATTTCTAAACATGATATTAAATTATTTAAACATAAATAAGCTGTACAATTTAGAGTATGAATTTGCTTTAAGATATCTTTTCCTTCAACATTTTGTTCTAATATTTCTAATGTATCTTTGTTTATAATTCTAGTTTTATCCCATACTTTATTTATTATGTTACAGATATTAAATATTTCAACTATTTCCAATGGTAAAGAAAACATAGTTTTATATAATTTATCATCCATACAAACATCATCTATGTTTTCAATCTCACAATCTGAATTTTCTAAATCAGATTCATTTTCATTTTCTTGATCTTCTGAACATAAATTGGCTAAAATCTCTAATGCTTGCTGCTGTGCACCAAAAATCCTTCTATTATCTTGTACTCTTTTTTTTGCATTACTAGAAAAAGCATTTTTTTCATAGGGTAAAATTGAAATCAAATTGGACAATAATTGTTTACAATCAATAGAAAGAGTATCAGATAATACATTTATCACTTTGCAGATTATATTCATAGAAATATTTTCTTCATAGTTAGTCAAGTTAATTAATAAACCACTTATAGCAGTTTTAAAACAAGCTATTTCAGAAACATTAGCATTATTTATTTCTGTGTTTAACAGTTGATTAAGTGTATCTTCAGAATTTTTAAGTTTTTTAATAGCATTGATATTATCTTCTGACAAAGATAATAAACATTGTGTAATAATTGTAGCAATTTCTATGCCATAAATAGTGATATCAAAAAATTTTGTTAGGATAGAAACAATATCATTTTCATTGCAACATTTTACAGCAAATTCATTGTGTTCACATAATGTCCACAATAATGTAACTGCTTGAATGAATGCTTCTTTTTCATCAATTACTTTGTTTTTCTCATTATGATCTTTTGGTTGCCAATCTGTATAATACTATAAATTATGTTTAAATTATTAATTTATCATAACAAAATAGAATAAAAAAAAATTAACTTTTAAACTTACTTGTTTTAACAAAGTACACAATGGACTCATAATATCATCATTTAATAAATTAGTATGTGCTTCCATTTTTCCATTATCTGCTAAATATCTTAAAGCGCTTGCACTGCTGGTTCTTATGAGAATATTTTTATCAACAAGTAATGGACCTATTATTTTAGCAATTCCATTTTTTGTAATTTGTATAGCAAGAGTTGAATTATAAGACATTGATTCAATCGTTTGCAATCCTGATAGTTTTTCCTCAATATTAACAGACTGTATCTGAAAAATTTATTATTTTATTTTTAAATGTTAAATTATTTTAAATTATTTTTAAATGTACAAAAATGAATAGAAATGTGAAATAAAAAATTTTCATGTAAAATACTTCTTCATATACTCTTCTTAAAGCACTTTCTCGATCATCATTCGTAACATCATCAATTTCTTCTGTTTCAAAATCTTTAACAGATAAAAGTCCTGTAGGATGTTTTTTATGTGGTCTATTTTTTTGTCTCTTTTGTTTTCCCATTTTTTTTTTAATATATGAATTATTGTGAATTAAACAAAATTATTTAAAAATACACGTGTTATTTCTATTTATATCTTCCTTTTTTGTCTCTTTCTATTGAAATAATTTTCACTAAATATTCACTAAATTATTTTTCACTAAATAAAAATAAAATGTTAAGTTTTTACAGAAATCACTTGACTAGATTTCACATGATTGGTTAAATTTTTAAGAAAATTGATTGGCATAGTGAAATATATCAGCGAATCAAAAATATGTACTTTCATTTATTTATCATCTATAAAATAAAATAGCAAGAAATTACCCATAATCCCTTAGGTTTTTTGAGACATGCGCTTTGAATAATTACATTCACGTATCAATTTGTATAAATGATAAAAATTTGTTTAAATTTATATGATAATATCGCAAAAACAATCATAGAATAAAGATATTTATAATATTTATAAATAAAAATAGATTAGAATTATATATATATTTTATTAATTATTATATTTTTATAATTATATTAAATAAATTTTAAAGAAATAAAATATTTTTAATGTAGTACGGTACTGTAAGAATTTAATATTTGCGTCTCTGTATTACGCATGCGTCAAATTTGATTTCGTTAGTCCAAATTTGACTCTTATAAATCTTTTCAAATGTGTAGCTGGTATTTTCCGATATAGCAATAACATAGTAAGGTGTGAATTAATTTGTTCAATATTTTTTTGTATTGTGGATTGTAAGGTATTATTTATAATTATTTTAAAATTTTATTAATATTTTTTATTAAATTTCAAATTTATGAAAATTATGATTATTAATTATTAATTATAACATAACATAAATATTTCAAATACAGCTTTTTGAATTTTTAATTAATCATGTATTTTAGTTAATTTATTTAATTAAATTTGAATAAAAAATATATGCTTCAATTATAGATTTATCATTCATCATTATATTCATTTTTATTTATTTATATTCATATTTATTATATTCATTATATTATTAAAATTTATAAAAAATTTTTTATCGATTTATTTATTGATTTATTGATTTATTGGTAGTTATCTATTACTTTTGAAATAATCTTAAATATATTAGTTTTAAATTAAAAAATATTTTTTACGAAGATTCATTCAACCACGTTGCTATTAATGTGTTGATATTGATTTGTTTCAAATTTTATTTGTTTTAATTGTATTTATTTTTTTTTATGTAATACTATAAATCCTAACAGTTCTTTTTGTATGTATGACAATTGAAATTCGTTCTTGAAATTATTATTTTTAAATATTATAATCTTTTGTTCCTTGAACAATATTTAATATTTAACCTTGAATTATCCTTAATGTTTTAAATATAAATATGCTCTAATTATAAATTTTTTTTTAAATTATATTTTTTAAGTTATATTTTATAATATCTGACTATATTTTTGAAAATTAATATTTATTCGGACATAAATAGCATATTTTTTAAATAAAAATATTTTTCTCCAATATTATATGAAATAAAGAATTGTTTTTCCTGTTATTAATATTGTATTTATAAAAAATTTTTTTTTATTGAACATAATAATTTTTAAAAAAAGAAAACATTCTTAATATATTATAATATTACAATTAATTTTTTAAATAAATTTTTCCTTTTTTAAATAAATTATTTTTTTTATTGTAAAAAATTACATATAATTTCAATAAAAAATTGTTAAGATTCTAAATCAATTATGGCTGATCGGGGCCGGGGTAGAAGTCGAGGACGAGGAAGAGGTCAAGATGATAGAAAACAAGCTCCTGGTCAACAACAACAACAACAACAACAACAACCTCCACAGCAACCTCAAGCAAGTGCTTGGGCTCGTAGACCTGGTCCTCCTCAACCACAACCAGGACCATCTTCACAAACACCATATTCAAGATCTTCAGCACCAGCACAGGTAATTTATGAAACATAATTTTAATTTTATTTAATAATACATATGTTGTATGATATGTATGGTATTTTTTTGTTTTTATATCTTTTTGTTTTCTTTGTTATTTCTTCAGAAGTAAGAAAAAAATATGTATGTATTTACTTTTCTTTAAAAATATAAAAAAATTATTTATGTGTGTGTATGTTTGAAGTATGTATTTAAAGTATATTAGAAATATAGAAATGTAAAAAAAAAATTGAAACTCATTTTGTTTTTTTGTGTAGAGCACAATTTATCCAAAGGTAAAAGGAATAGATAAGGTTAGTGTTTGTGTATTATTGTTAAATACATTGTTACATTTTGAGTAATATTATTTTTTTGTAAAAATAAACTGTCCCAACAATATAGTCTTTTATTACATAGTATTTGTAATTTAAATTTATTTATAAATATTATTAATTTAGGAATGTGAAAAATGTATATATCTTTTTTTGTTTATATATTATATCTTCTATTTTGATCTATATTATTGGATTGTTTGGAAAATAATTTCGTTTTTTCATGTTTTCGTTTTGAAAAAAAACGAAATTACTTTCCGAACAATCTATCATAATGAAATTTTAAATTATTATTTTATTATTAAGTATTTTTCATTTCAATATAGAGTGCTGGAAGAGCCACTCAAAGATTAGGTCCTAAAGGAGATGGTGGTCCAGGGCATAAAGAAGAAAGTGCTCCTGAAGCAATGGAAGGTGTATTTAACAAAATTTTTTTTAAAATTACGTTTCATTTATATTCATTTTATATTTATATTATTTGAGAGAATTATATGGTATAAATTTATTTTTATTTATGAATATTATATACATATACTTTATAGTTAGTGGGGAAGCTGCTGGAGGAGGAGATGCAGCAGCACAGTTGGGAAGAGGTGCTATGCGAGGTAGACGTATGATACCATCAACTCCAGAAAATATACAAACTAGACCAGAGAATTTAATAACTAAACAAGGTTAATATATTTCGTATATATATATATATATATAAAACACAAAAAATATATATAACATAAATATTGACATTTTTAGGTACTACTGGAAGTAGTGTAATGCTACAAGCAAACTATTTTAAATTGCTTGCCACAACTGATTGGTGTTTATATCAATATCGAATTGATTTTGCACCGGAAGAAGATCGCACTGCGGTTCGTAAAGGATTACTTAAACTTCATAAAGAAGCTTTAGGAGCATATGTTTTTGATGGAACTGTTATGTATTCTAGTAGACGTTTACAAGATGTAAGATACTTTTGATTACATCAAATTATATATAACTATTTGATGAATTGTAAGATTACACAAAACTTTATTTTAGAAAATGGAAATTTGGTCTAGGAGGACATCAGATGATGCCACAATCAGAATTACCATACGTCTTGTTGGAGAAATGGAAAGAGTAGACCAACGTTATCTTCAATTTTTCAATATAATTATGCGAAAATGTTTAGCTCTATTGAATCTTCAGCTTGTAGGGCGCGATTATTTTGATGCACATAGTAAAGTAAATAGACAAATAAATTCTTGTTATAATTCTTTAATGTTTGTATTTACTAATTGTTTAAAATAATTAAAATATAGGTAGAAGTACGTGATTTTAGATTGGAACTTTGGCCTGGTTATCTCACATCTATAAGACAACATGAGAATAGTATTCTTATGTGTGCTGAAATCATACATAAAGTCATGCGTCAGCAAACTTTATTAGATATATTAAATGAATGTTATGATCATGATAAGAATGATTATAAGGTAAAAAATATTAATTATTAATAATTTTCTTTAAGCTTAATTATATTCATATTAAATATTATATATTTAGACTTTATTTGAAAATCAAGTTATTGGTTTAGTTGTACTTACTGATTACAACAATAATACATATCGTATATCAGATGTGGATTTTGATTCAAGTCCTAATTCAACTTTTCAATTAAGAACCGGTGAAAAAATAACTTATAGAGAATATTATAGAAATAAATATCAAATCCCTATTGATAACATCTCTCAACCAATGCTTGTAACGAGATTAAAACCAAGAGAACGTCGTGCTGGTCAAGCCGAATTAGTATATCTTGTTCCGGAACTTTGTCGTGCAACAGGTATAATTTTTTATTCAATATTTTTATAATTAATATGCTTAAATAAAATAAAATATTATTTAATTGTTTCATGATAAATATTTATATTTCAAAATGTTGTATTTCATGATAAATAATTCTTGCATAGGTTTAACTGATGCTATGAGAGACAATTTCCATTTAATGCGTACATTGGCAGAATATACACGTGTATCTCCCGCGGCACGTATAGATAAATTAATGGTCTTTAATAGGAGACTTCGCGATAAACCATCTATAGTAAAAGAATTAAATGAATGGAATTTACATCTTGATGAAAGACTAGTTGATGTACCAGCACGATTTTTACAACCAGAAAAAATTGTATTGGGAAGTGGACGAACGGTTTCTGCGGGCCAATTTGCCGACTGGACCCGTGAATTACATAATAAGCCATTGTATAACATTGCTCGATTGACTAACTGGGTAGTAATTTGTATGACTCGTATGAGACGCGATGTCGAGAGATTCATACAAACGCTTAAAGAATCTGCATCTGGAATGGGTTTTAGAATTGACAATCCAAGACTTTGGGATGTTGCTGATGATCGATCCAACACTTATTCTGATACTCTCGAAAGAGTAATGAGTACTAGTAATCCAGAATTAATCTTTTGCGTAGTATCGAATAATCGAGCCGATAGATATAGTGCAATAAAAAAGAAATGTACTCATGATAGACCAGTAGCTTCACAAGTTTTCCTTGCAAAAAATCTCTCGAATAAAGGTATAAGATCGATTGCTACAAAAGTAGCAATTCAATTAAATTGTAAATTGGGTGGTGCTCCATGGAGCGTTGAACTACCACCGATTAATTTAATGGTAGTTGGTTATGACGTATGTCATGATCCTGCTGATAAAAGCCGTGATTTTGGTGCAATGGTAGCATCATTGGATAGAAGCTTGACAAGATATTATAGTTCAGTAGCTGCTCATACTACAGGAGAAGAACTTTCAGACGAGTTTGGAGAAAGTCTCGAAAAAGCTGTGCTATGCTACAG